GCTCCACTCCTGTTTCGCCTTTTTGGACGTCGACGTCGGATCTGTTATTAAATTTGAGTTGAAATAGCGAGAGATTTTATTTTAGTTCTTCTATGTCGAATATCTGTCGTTCTTATCACCAGCAATCTAATTCTTTCCACAGCTGAGTCCAGGCACACTTTACACTTGCATTCGATCGCTTCCTGCATTAAACCGGTTCAACATCGCTACATCCTGCATTGTGTTTTTCATATTACCGAGGAGGAAATCCATCTCTTTCTTAACTGACGTCGTATGGCCTTCCATGTCCATCTTTCACTCGGTGTTTCTGAAAAAATTGTACATATTAAAGAGCCAGTTCTTTCAACAAACTCCCCTTGTTGTTTCTCTCGCCGTAATCAAATCGGCCTATCGGACCAATTCGTTCCCTGTTGTGATCCGACTTTGACCTTGAAATCGCTGATGACGAATTTGTTATGGCTTTTTCCATGTTCATGCACTCCTATCTCTTCATGAAAACCTTCAATCCCTTCGGAGGATATACTTTGATCAGTTGGAGTTAGTTCCTCTTTGAAGCATTCAGGACCAGACTTGCACACCTCTCCAAGGTGCTGTCCATTTGTCTGCATTGTTAATTAATGTTCTGTGGACAATGAACGTTACTCACTCTGTTCTTCCATGTACCGAACCACTCTAGAACAGTAAGTGTCCAATATTAAGTTCTTAAAGCTCATCCTCCTTTCGTATAACTCAAATCAGTCGTGCAGTGTACCACTTGACTTTCATCAGCTTGTCTTCCAGTTTCTGAAGCCTCGCTTCGTCTAAAAGTGATCCGCAATTGTTCGATTCCAAAGTTAGTAAACCGTAGCATCTCCGGGTATTTTGCGCACCTTCTGCCTTCATATCTGACCAGCTACCACCTTAATCGAGGGCTGTTGAGCATCAAGGAGATAAGGGCTGTGGTTCTAGTTATCATTTCATCTTGAAGCCTTTGACCATAATTCACCATGCTGGCCAGGCGGGTTGGCGAGTGTTTGCCTCTTCCACTTTACTGGGTATATTTCTCAAGCTACCACAGCATTGTTGAACTTACCAGAGCCTGGCGAGTCAGCTGTACTTGGTGTTGAGAACTCGTGTCACCATTCTACCACGGTACGGTAGTCCCAGGTAATTAAAATAGACGTAAAAGTAACATAGGTGATTTATGCGTATTAAATTAACCGGCGATATTTACCCGTACGACTCATGTTTCATACTTATCAGATTTATCAGATGATAGGAATGGTCTCGTTCTGCGAGTCCTAGCGCAACTGATATGCAAAAAGAAGTCGATTATACATGAACAAACTATTGTCTAAAATATACAAGCCCTTTGAGACAAATGTTTTCGAACCTGCTTCAGACATTTCAAGGAGAACTCTAGCCCTTAGTTGAACCATCTTCATTAATCCAAAATGAAAGCACATTGAAAAATTTTCATCTTTTTATGGAAGGAGAATGACAAGTCGAACGCTGGACGAATAAACGATATTTGACGATTGATGGATGTCAGGAAATGTAAGAAAAGTAAGATATTTGAGAACTTGAATGGTTGATATTTTAAAAATGCACGTAATATTTTCATTCGTCGAAACTGCGGACGACGTTCAGCGTTGTCATGGCTGGAGATTGCTGGTGAGCAATGTGTCAATAAAAAACTAATTAATTTTCGACGAACGTTTCTTCTGCCTGACTTGAAGCGTTAATGAAACAGAAGCTTATTCAACAATTAAGGATTCAAGGACAATGTCTCGAAGGATGAGGAATGAGGATTACCAATTGACCCTCTTGTGATTGGTTCATCATCGAAGAAGAATTAATTCACCTCTACCGTATGGAAAATTGCTAATCTTACGATGGTATCACATGAGAGGTTGATATGTTCTTTCAGCAAATTTATTTCTAATTTAAGCTTATTGATAATTTAACGGTAATGTTGACGAGGCACCAATGAAAAAGCCCTTGATGTCAGGACTGATTATAATGCTTCTTTCACTGGGATTGATCTGATTCAAGTCCTTGCAAATATCGTTGGAAATTTTGATACATGAAGCATTTCACATTATGTTAAGCGTGCGAGTTTTTTAGCGGTTAATTTTAAAGCCACTGCGAAAATAGCAGAGAGTTCATAAAGAGTCATTTGTTTAAAGCGAACATGGATAAATCCACTGTAGGTAATCCGGCTTTACACCTGGATCTGAGAGATACTTCTATTGAGCTAAAGAACTCTGGGTCTAGGTGGCGATGTCAAAGAATACTCAGGACAACGCAAAAATTATTACAATGAATCCCCTCTCACTGCTGCTTGCCTGTAGCAGGCCACCGCTCTATGGTGCATGAGCATCTTCAGTGCGACGATGCTATAACGCATTATCATGTAGTGTTAATACGAACCAGTACGTGTTTCATAATCAGGTTAAATGATATGAATTATGTTTTACTGGGGCATCGCGATGACTGCAATTGTTGGCCGTCGCTTCTGAACGTAAACGTCAATAGCTGTGCATAACGCTTAAATTTTTCTGCTGGTTTTCAGCGCTTTCTAGTACCAATTGCTACACACAGTTTTCTTAGTTATATGGGCTACGTCTTTGAGATATAAGGGCTGCTATTACATCTCGCTGATCGGTTGATTACGAACGTCATCGTTGACATGCTTCACTTGGGTTATTTATTTAAATTGTGAGGTGACGTTCAAAAGCTACGCATGTTGTAATCTCGATTGTTCTTCACAAACAGTTAGGTTAATATCACAATGTGTTGACAAAAGTCAGAACTTTCAAACGGTTCTCTCCACGTGGAATCGAGCTCTAACTTTGTCAATCAACCTAACTTTATCACTAGGCATAGTTCCATATCACTGATTCGAAGAAAGTAAGCGACTCCATTGGCAGTGCTGTCAGGAAAGTGCAAGGAGACCGGTCGACCACTTGAAATCAGAAACATTATTCGTCTTCGTCTACTTTCTTAACTTATGTCAGCCATACTTTACAGTCACGTGTCTTTCTTAGAGTATTTATTCGTCCTTTCTTCGCACTGTTCCTCCGTGGACCGAAGAGGCGGATGTCTGGCTGGATCTGCTGCTTTATTTTGACTTTCGCCAAGTGGTGTTGGTGTTTCCTGACGAGCAAAACTCGCTGTTGTGCATCGGCAGGTTCCTGGAGCAGGCGGCGATCAGCGGAATACAGGTTTTGCTCACTTGGAGCCCTTCAGGTCGAAATGACATCATGATTTAGGTGCAGAAATATGTCAAATACGAAGAAAACTTGCAATCAGCCACCTCGGTCGTGAAAGAGATTGAGACATCGAACTGCAACATTATCATAATGCTCGCGAGGTAAGACATTAAGGCAACAAACTTTTAATCCGTTGTTCCAACAGAACTTGAGACGACGAGAGACGATCGCCATGCTTTCGCATTTGCTGTCAGCCACATTTGCGGGTTTCTTTAACCTTCCAATCTGAAAGCATTTCAAGTTCAGTCGTTCATGGCCAGGCATCGGTAAAAGTTTTAGAAAGTTTCCCTTCCCAGATGTAAATACGGCTACTGCATGCTCGCTAGAAGGCGTTCTGCAGCGTGCAAAAGAAATACTGACATTTTTGAAAACAGAAAATTTCCAATTGCCGTTGGATCCATACTGTATGAAAGCGCGGCAGCTGGTATATGGTTGCGAGATTTGGGCTTTAAGGCAAAAACTGAAGAACTGCTAAGAGTGATACAACCGCTACGGAGAGGAGGATACTAGAAATTTTCGACAACCATAGCCTGTATAATGAAGCAATTAAAGGCCCATAGGGATGCAAGTCAGCTTCACAGAAAAGCTAACGACAGTGATGGCAGATGGACTAGTGAAAATTTGCCATATTGAAAGATCTTTATCAGATCGGTCAATGAGCCTGAAGAAAGATATGACGACAAACCGCACGAAAAAGACGCGCTTGGCGTCGAGATTGGGTGATATTGTTCCTCGTTAAGTGCAAACAAGGATAAATCATGAATTTCAGACTGTAAATATGGATTTTGATTCCTCATTGTTGTTTACAATCATAACTTTAAATATTACACTCTGCGTAGGTTATCAGTAATCCACCGACCCCCTGCTTTCGCACGACGCACAGTAATAAAGTAGCAGAGTTCGTTTTTTCAACGCTTCAGTGAGTTGCGGTAAGCTGGGACGTTTTCCTACATTCAAACTCATATTTCTAGTTTTATGGTACTTCAGATAGCCTTAGATAATTAATACCATAAAGTTTCTATTTATTCCACTTGTATATTTAGTCTGTTTGTTTGCTGATTTTCAAGGCTCAACTGGTTTTTGTTTTCAGCACGGAAGATGCCTACATTATTTTCCAGGAGATTACTAGGACAGGCATTGGACTGGGACGATCGAGAGCTCTAATAGTCAATGAATTGGCGCTACAAGCAAACAACACTCCTCCAGGTATGACACAACGAGGCTGCGTTCCCTCACTCCTCACACAATGTTACTGTTGCATTCTCGTCAAGCAACCGTTTCTTTGATCTTAGCCGATGGCCTTCAAGATATTGCATATTTTTAAATTTTTGGAATATTACGAAACCCTGCTCAGCACTAGCAACCCGTCGACAATTAATATAGCACTGAATTTGCTAATGTGTTTATCGCAGGAAATGCTAGATATGTTAAGGTTGCAGTGAGATACTTAGAATAACTCAAAGGATAATGCATATTTCAGAATGACTAATGGTGCACTATTGAGGTTGCCAATGAATGCAGTCATATAGGAGCAGCATGGAAGAAACAAACGGCATCATTCACCTGAAGGTTGAACCATAAACGAAGTAATGTTAATGCTTCTGCTTCTAAATCCAGGGCACGAAATAGAGATGTGATGCCGAAGCTTACTGCAATGCATTGCAACTAAAGGCTCCCTAAAGCCATAAGAATAACCTCGGTTTTAGTCATTCTGAACTTCTAACCTAACAAGGCTGAGATACTGATTATAAAATGAGTGAGATCTAGGGGTACTC